CACGGTGGTGCATGCCTGTAATCCCAGCTGCTCGGGAGGCTGAGGCAGGAGAATTGCCTGAACCCAGGAGGCGGAGGTTGCGGTGAGCCGAGATCGCGCCATTGCACTCCAGCCTGGGTAACAAGAGCGAAACTCCGTCTCAAAAAAAAAAAATAATGATAGTATGTCTAACCGGGTGCAGTGTCTCATGCCTATAATCCAGCACTTTGGGAGGCCAAGACGGACTGATCACCTGAGGTCAGGAGTTTGAGACCAGCCTGGCCAACATGGTTAAACCCTGTCTCTACAAAAATTAGCCAGGTGTGGTGGCAGGCACTAGTAATCCCAGCTACTCAGGAGGTTGAGGCAGGAGAATCACTTTAACCCAGGAGGTGGAGATTGCAATGAGCTGAGATTGAGCCATTGTACTCCAGCCTGTGCAACAAGAGCAGACAGAAAGACAGACAGAAAGAAAAAAAAATATGTCTAAATTATATGTCATCCATCTCCTTACAAAGAAAGAAAGAAGAAAAAAAATAATACGTCTAAATTATATGTCATCCATCTCCTTGCATACTTCAAGTAACTAAAAATGAATCATGAATTTTCAGTGTCCACCTTTCCAGCCAGCCAATGAGGAACAGGAAGAGGATGGGGCCTCTGGTGTCTCTGAGCCACACAGCTCCCCCTGCCATATTGATGGTGTTCTTGGGTTCTTCATGGTTTCCTACCAGAAGATGAACTCAACCAGATTAAATCCTACTCTCAACTTGTGGACTTGCTGAAACCCCAGGGCCAATTGTTCCCAGAATTGTTATCTGAGCTTGTCAGGCCCAGAAGGGACTTCTTCCAGCCTCTAGGTAGACATAGCCCTAGTTCTCGTGAGGGGATCAGGCCATTTGTATGGTCAGGGTGACTATAATGTTGTCATTTTGAAAATGCTATATTAAGGGAATCACAGGGAATGTAACTTTTGCAAATTGTTTTTTTTTTTCACTAAGCATAATTCTATGGAGATTTATTCAAGTCATTGCATATATCAATAGCTCTTTCCATTTATTGCTGAGTAGTATTCCATGGTATGAATATACCAATTTGTTTAACCATCACCAATTAAAGGACATCTGGGTTTTTTTCTCACATTTTGCTATTACAAATAGTAGCAGCTACACTGCCATGTGTGTACCTACGCAACTGTCTTGCATGCTCTGCTCATGTACCCCAAAACCTATAATCCAATAAAAAATTAAAAAAAAAAATATCTTTGAATACAAAAAACAAACAAACAAACAAAAAAAAAAACAAAAAAAACCAAATAGTAGCAGCTGATATCAACATTCATTATAGGTTTGGGTGTAACTATAAGTCATCATTTCTGTAAGGTAAATGTCCAGGTGTGAAATTGCTGGGTCTTATAATAATTCCATGTTTATTGTTTTGGGATACTGACAAACTGTTTCCCAGAGTGACTATCCCATTTTACATTCCCACCAGCAATGTATGAGTTTCCCAGTTTATCCACATAACCACATTTGGTGTTGCTACTGTTTTTTATCTCAGCCATTCTGACAGTTGTGTAATAGCTCATTGTGGTTTTAATAAGCATTTCACCAATGGCTAATGATGTTGAATATCTTTGCATGTGCTTAGTAGCCTTCTGCATAACTCTTTCAGTGAAATTGTATTCGTATATTTTGCTCATGCTCTAATTGGATTGCTTATTTTATTTTGCCTTTATTTATTCCTTCTGTAGCACTTCTTTATTTAGACATGAGTTTCTGACCTATATAATTTTCCTTGTCTCTGAAGAACTTCTTTTAAGATTTCTTGGAAGGCAGGTACACTCCATTTTTTAATGCATAGAAAGATTTTATTTCTCCTTCACTTTTTTTTTTTTTTTTTTTTTTTTTAAGACAGGATCTCACTCTGTCACCCAGACTGGAGTGCAGTGGCTCACTGAATCTTCCACATCCCTAATTCAAGGTTTTCCTTGGTCTCAGCCTCCCAAGTAGGTGAGAGTACAGGTATATGCCATCATACCTGGCTAATTTTTATATTTTTAGTAGAGACAGGGTTTCACCATATTGGCCAGGCTGGTCTCAAACTCCTGACCTTAGGTGATCCACCCACCTCAGCCAAAGTGTTGGGATTACAGGGGTGAGCCAACATGCCCAGCCGATTTCTCCTTCATTTTTGAAGGATAATTTTGCTGGATACAGAATTCTAGGATGGTAGGTTTTTCTTTCAACACTTTAAATATTTTAGAATATTCTCTTCTTGCTTGCATAGTTTCTAAAGAAAAGTTTGATATAATTCTCACCAAGTAACGTTACTGTTGAGTTTTATAAGTTTATTTTATATATTCTAGATTCTAGTCCTTTGTCAGATATGTGCTTTGCAAATATTTTCTCCCACTCTGTCGCTTGTCTTTGCAGTCTCTGAACGAGATCTTTTAAGAGTAAAAGTTAGCTGAGTGTGGTGGTTCACACTTGTAATTCCAGAACCTTGGGAGGTTGAGGCAGGAGGAGTGCTTGCGTCTAGAAGTTTGTGACCAGCCTGGGCAACATAGTGAGACTCCATATCTACAAAATAATAATAATAATAATAATAAGCTGGGTGTGGTGGTTCGCATCAGTAGTCCCAGCTACTCAGGAGGCTGAAGCTGGAGGATCACTTGAACCTGGGAGATCAAGGCTGCAATGACTCATGATCATGCATGCCACTGTATTCAGCCTGGATGACAGTGAGACGCTGTGTCCAAAAGCAAAAAAAAAAAAAAAAAAAAAAAAGGCCAGGGTCTCCATGTAGTCTCCATTGACACCTCAAAAGGCAAGAGGAGGCTCATTACTGGCAAGCTGTGATAAAATTCCAGTTCTCTACTTTGCTTTCTCTGACACCACCCTGGTGGGAATGTTGAGATACCGTGTTTGAGTCTCATAAGAATGGAAGGGTAGGTTATCACTTAGCCTTTGCTTTTATAGTTGGAGTTGGGGGTGGTCATAGTTTTTTTCTGTGGTGTTTGGCTGGAGTAGAGGGTTATTGTCTAAAAATTGTCTGTCTGGTGAGACTGCCCCTTTCCTGGTCCCTTCACTAAAGAAAGCAGTCTCTGTTGGGGACGTTGTAGTCTATGCCAGCTGCCACATTGTGTTGATGGATTCTTCAGTTCCAAGTCTTCTGTGTACCTTTTAGATGTTTGTTTTATATGCTAATATAATGCCTAGGATTTTTAGTTGTAACATTTTAGCAGGAATGTTTGTCCCCTCCAAATCTCAAGTTGAAAGCTGATCCCTAGTGTTGGAGGTGAGGCTTAGCAGGAGGTGTTTAGGTCGTGGAGGCAGATCCCTAATGAAAATTTGGTGTCCTCCTCACAATAATGAGTTCTCACTCTATTAGTTGACATGAAAGCTGTTTATTTATTTATTATTATTTATCAAGACGGAGTGTTGCTCTGTTGCCACGGCTGGAGAGCAGTGGCTGTTGTCAGCTCACTGCAACCTCCACCTCCTGGGTTCAAGTGATTCTTCCACTTTAATCTTCTGAGTGGCTAGGACTACAGGTGTGCGACACCACATCCAGCTAATTTTTGTATTTGTAGTAGAGATGGGCTTCACCATGTTGGCCAGGCTGGTCTCAAATTCCTGACCTCAAGTGATTCACTGGCCTCAGCCTCCCAAAGTGCTGGGATTATAGGGTTGAGCCACGGTTCCCAGCCGAGAGTCAGTTGTTTAAAAGAGCAGGCATCCCTTTTGTTCCTTCTCTTTCCATGTGTCACATCTGCTCCCTCTTTAATCTCCTGCTATGAGTAAAAGCTTCCTGAGTCCTCACCAGAAGCACACACTGGCACCGGGCTTCTTGTACAGCCTGTAGAACTGTGCGCCAAATAAACCTTTTTCCTTTATAAATTACCCAGCCTCAGCTACTCCTTTATGGCGACACAAAATGGACTAATACAAAGAATAGGGAAAGTATGTCTATGACATATTCCTGGAAGCAAAATTCTATAGCAGACTTTTACAGAAAGCTAGTAGTCTCTCCATCACCAAGGGACTAGATGAGGGACAGATAGAAAAGAGGAGCAAGGACTGTCCTGGAGACTCCCATGCCAACAGGAAAGAGGAAGAGGAACTAGCAAGGAAGATTCAGACAGTACAGCTAATGAGATAGACGGAAAAACAAAAGAATGCAAGACAGATATAGTAAATGACTTTTTAAAGAATAGTTTCAGTGGGGACAAAATTCTAACTAGAAGAGATTTAAGAAATAACCAGACAAAGTGAAAGAACTGAGTTGCCAAAGATTACATATTATCTGATGCCATTTATATGAAATGTCTAGGATGGGTCAGGCCAATCTTTTTTTAATTATTATTATTTTGAGACAGAGTCTCGTTCTGTTGCCCAGGCTAGAGTGCAGTGTTGTGATCTCAGCTCCACACAACCTCTGCCTCCCAGGTTCAAGAGATTCTCCTGCCTCAGACTCCCCAGTGGCTGGGACTACAGGAATGTGCCACCGCACCTGGCTAATTTTTGTATTTTTAGTAGAGATGGGGTTTCACCGTGTTGGCCAGGCTGTCTTGAAGTCCTGACTTCAGATGATCCTCCCACCTCGGCCTCCCAAAGTTCTGGGATTACAGCCTGAGCCACCGCTCCGGCCTCAGAATAGGCCAATCTATATAGGTAGAATTAGTGGTTACTTAGGGCTGGGATTGGGCAGATGGGTTGGAGTGGGGAGGGGGGACTTGAGGAAATAGGGATGGAAAATGACTACTAATGAGCACAAAGTTTCCTTATGGGGTGATGAAAATGTTCTAAAGTTAGATTGTAGTGATAGTTGCACAACTCTGAGATATATTTCACATTATTAAATTTTGCACTCTAAGTGGGTGAATTGTATAGTATGTGAATTATATTTTAACATAATTATGAAGGAAGGAAGAGACATATTGGGGAAAATGTGGAATTTTTATGCAGGACTAATTTGTCTTACATACCGAGTACTAACAATCCAATAGAAAAAAACAATGAGTAGCTCCTTTCCTCAGCTGCCGCCAAGGTGCTCGGTTCTTCCGAGGAAGCTAAGGCCGTACTGGGGTGAGGCCCTCACTTCATCCGGCGACTAGCACCGCGTCCGGCAGCGCTAGCCTCACACTCACCCGCACCATGGCCTCCGTCTCCGAGCTCGCCTGGATCTACTCAGCCCTCATTCTGCACGACGATGAGGTGACCATCACGGAGGATAAGATCAATGCCCTCATTAAAGCAGTCGGTGTAAATGTTGAACCTTTCTGGCCTGGCTTGTTTGCAAAGGCCCTGGCCAACGTCAACATTGGGAGCTTCATCTGCAATGTAGGGGCTGGTGGGCCTGCTCCAGCAGCTGATGCTGCACCAGCAGGAGGTCCTGCCCCCTCCACTGCTGCTGCTCCAGCTGAGGAGAAGAAAGTGGAAGCAAAGAAAGAAGAATCCGAGGAATCTGATGATGACATGGGCTTTGGTCTTTTTGACTAAACCTCTTTTATAATGTGTTCAATAAAAAGCTGAATTAAAAAAAAAAATGAGTAAAAGACAGAACAGAAAAATTTTTGACAAGATGCTTAATTCACAATAACAAAGTTATAAACTAAAACTACATTGAAGCCGGGCGTGGTTGCTCACGCTTGTAATCCCAGCACTTCGGGAGTCTAAGGCGGGCAGATCACGAGATCAAGAGATGGAGACCATCTTGGCCAACATGGTGAAACCCTGTCTCTACTAAAAATACAAAAATTAGCTGGGCGCGGTGGCACACACCTGTATTCCCAGCTACTCTGGAGGCTGAGGCAGGAGAATTGCTTGAACCTGGGAGGCGGAGGTTGCAGTGAGCCAAGATCGCAGCACTGCACTCCAGCCTGGTGCCTGGCAATGGAGCGAGACTGTCTCGAAAAAAAAAAAAACTACATTGAAATAACATGGTTTTCCTCTGACTGACAAAATCCCAAAGTTTGGCAGCATTTAGCAAGGCTTTAGGGCATCAGGCACTTTTTTTTTTTTTTTTTTTTTTAAGCCAAGGGGTTTCACCATGTTGGCCAGGCTGGTCTTGAACTCCTGACCTCAGGTGATCCGCCCACCTCGGCCTCCCAAAGTGCTGGGATTACAGGCGTGAGCAACCGCACCCGGCCTCAGGCACTCTCATACGTTGTTATTTGCGGTATAAATTGGAACAATCCTATGGAGAGCAATGTAGCAGTATTTATCAAAATCATAAATGCAGGTAGGGCATGGTGGCTCATGTCTGTAATCCCAACACTTTGCGAGGCTGAGGCACACAGACTGCTTGAGGTCAGGAGTTTGAGACCAGCCTGCCTAACGTGGTGAAACCGCATCTATCTCTACTAAAAATACAAAAATCACCAAGGTATGGTGGCAGGTGCCTGTAGTCCCAGCTACTCGGGAGGCAGAGGTTGCAGTGAGCCAAGATGGTGCCACTGCACTCCAGCCTGGGCAACATAGTGAAACTCCATCAAAAAGCAAAAAACAAACGAACAAAATCATAGAAAATAGTCAGCCTATTTTTAGGCTGATGGAAGATGATCCAGACATTTAGATTATTTCTGCCTTTTGCTGTATTACAGTACCTTTTAAATACCTCTGTTATATCTCTTTATCTGCTTATATGTTTCTTTTTCCAGAATATGAAAAATTCCTTGGAAGCAAGGGCCATCACCCTTCATCTCTGTATCTCCTGCTGCTAGCCTTGTGCTGACATAAAGCAGTGCTCAGCATAGATTTTTTGAAGGATGTTGTTGAGGGCTCTCCCGAGGGCTGTCCGCCATTTGAATGAATCCAGAACACCTAGCACCAGGTTCAGGCTTCAGTCTTGCAGCAAGGTCTGCTTGGGTAGGAATTCCCAGGAAAAAAATCTCAGAAGTAGCACAACTTAAGCTAAGCAGATGGAGCAGAGAAAAGAAGGCACTGGTCACAGTGAGAACCACATGAGCAAAGTCAGAGGTGCTGGCATGACATGACATGATGATGAGGATGGTGGTGGTAGTGATGATGAGGTAGTTCACATTTATTGAGAGTCTACTATATACCAAGAACTGTTTACCTTTTATCATGTATTAGTTAATTCCTGACAAGAAGTCTATGAAGAAGGTATTATCTTCATCTTACAGATGGGGAGACTAAGAGGGGAATAAATTGCCCAACATCACATAACTATGAAGAATACATGTGACCAAAAGAATATATATAGTGCCTTGATGCAGAGACTTGATCTGATTAAAAAAATAGATTTATTCTTGCACTTCTTCTGACCTCCCCTCTTCTTCCTACCTACCAAGTTTTTAATAAATATATGCCAGATTTTATTTTCTGCAACTTTGCAAAAACATTCCTTTGTCCCTGACCTAAGGGGTGAGAAATCTATTGTAATTCTTGCTACTGGATATAGTTGCAAAAATAATGCCAAGGAATTTTCCTACATTCAGCTCTTGATTTACTCTTCTTTTCTATTTCTACCTCCCTTAGAAAATATTCCTGTTCCCCAAAACACTTGAAAAACTCATAGTTACCAGTAAGTTAGGGGTAAATTTACCTAAACTAATTGCTTTTAGGATTACTCTATTTTTATTTTTTGAGACAGGGTCTCACTGTGTCACCCAGGCTGGAATGTAGTAGTATGATCATGGCTCACTGCAGCCTCAACTTCCTGGCCTCATGTGATCCTCCCAATGCAGCCTTTTGAGAAACTGGGACCCAAGTAGTTGAGATGGTAAGTAAGCACCACCACGCCAGGCTAATTTTTTTTTTAAGTTTTTTGCAGGGACGAGGCCTTGCAAAAAGGCCAGCATATGTTGCCTATGCTGGTCTTGAACTCCTGGCTCAAGCAATCCTCCCACCTCAACCTCCCAAAGTGCTGGGATCACTAATTTAATGCTACTGAATACAGAAAGGTGATTCTGTTTAGTCTGGATCTGCGTGGCTGAAAGATTCTGCCTTCAGGCCCTGTTATGATAGTCTGAAATGTGTCCCCCTTAAAATGTGTATGAAGTCCTAATCCTCGGTACCTCAGAATGTGACTGTAATTGGAGATAGGGTTTTTAAAGAAGTAATTAAGTTAAAATGAGGTCATCAGGGTGGGTATTAATCCAATGACTGGTGTCCTTATAAGAAGAGATTACGATAGACACAGAGGAAAGACAGAGAGCAGATGGGAGCCTATAAACCAAGGAGAGAGCCTCAGAAGAAAGCAACCCTGCTGACGTCTTGACCTTGGACTTCTGGCCTTCAGAACTGTAAGAAAATTAATTTCTGGTCGGATACAGTGGCTTATGCCTGTAATCCCAGGGCTTTGGGAGGTTGAGGGAGGTAGATCACTTGAGGTCAGGAGTTCAAGGGCAGCCTGGCCAATGTGGTGAAGGTGAAACCCCATCTCTCCTAAAAAAAATACAAAAATTAGCTGGGCATGGTGACACATGCCTGTAGTCCCAGCTACTTGGAGGGCTAAGGCAGGAGAACTGCTTGAACCCAGGAGGTAGAGGTTGCAGTGAGCCAAGATTACACCTCTGCATTCCAGCCGGGGTGACAGAGTGAGACTCTGTCTCATTCATAAATAAATAAATAAATTTCTGTTGGTTAACTTACCCAGTCTGTGGTATGTTTTTATGGCAACCCCAGAAAACTAATATAGGCCCTTACTCAGAGCCCACCTTTCTCACTGTGTCAAACACTGAACTTTCACATCTATATACCCAACAGTCTACTGGACTTCTCCACTTATCACGTTGCCACTTCACATTCAGTGTGTCCAAAGCAGCACTCTCATTTTATTTTTATTATTTTTTAACATTTGTGCCATTACACAAAGCAACACTCATTGCTCTCTACATGCCTCTCTTCCTTATCTCGCTGATAGCACCACTACAATAAGCAAGAAATGTAGTTGTCATTCTGAATTTTGCATTCTCTCTCCATTCCTACTTCCTATTAGTTATAAAGTTCTATCTAGTCCACCTCTTAAATCTTCATTTCTTAATTTTTTACTTAAAAAAATTTCAGATTAAAAAAAAAGTTGAAAAAATAATACAATGAACAGCTTATGCCCTTCACAAAATTCACAATTTGTTAATATTTTTTTCTCTTTGCTTTCACATTCTCTTTCCACATGTACTTTTTCTCTGGGACTATTTGAAAGTAAATCACCTGTAATCCCAGCACTTTGGGAGGCCAAGGCAGGTGAGTCATCTGAGGTCAGGAGTTCAAGACAAGCCTGGCCAACATGGTGAAACCCATCTCTATTAAAAATACAAAAAAATTAGCCGGGCGTGGTGGTGCATGCCTGCAGTCCCAGCCACTCGGGAGGCTGAGGCAGGAGAATCGCTTCAACCCAGGAGGAGAAGGTTGCAGTGAGCCAAGATTGTGCCACTGCCCTCCAGCCTGGGCGAGAGAGTGAGACTCCCTCTCAAAAAAAAAGGTAAATCACAAACACCATAATATTTTTCTATAAATACTTCAGCATGTATCTCCTAAGAACAAGGGTTCTCTGCTACATGTCTTCAATATCAATGATGTAATGGAAGTTCTAGACAGAACTACTGCACAACACAAATAAATAAAGGGCATACTAATTGGACAGAAACAAGTCAAATTATCTTTAGTTGAAGATGACATGATCCCATATGTAGGAAATCCCAAATAACCCATAAGAAAATTAGTAGAGCTAATAAATTTAGCAAAGTTTTAGTGTTACGATCAACATGCTAAAATCAGTTATTTCTATATACCAGCAACAAACAATCTGAAAAGGAAATTAAGAAAACAATTTCACTTACAATAGAATGCAAAATAATAAAATATCTAGGAATAATACTAACTGACAAGGTGAAAGACTTGCACACTGAAAACCAAAACAATGCTGAAAGAAATCAAAGACCTATGGCTGGGCGTGGTGGCTCACACCTGTAATCCCAGCACTTTGGGAGGCCAAGGAGGGGGGAATCACGAGGTCAGTTCAAGAGCAGTCTGATCAACATGGTGAAACCTCATCTCGACTAAAAATGCAAAAATTAGCCAGGTGTGGTGGCAGGCACCAGTGATCCCAGCTACTCAGGAGGCTGAGACTGGAGAATCGTTTGAACGCGGGTGGAGTGAGCTGAGATAATGCCATTACACTCCAGCCTGGGCAAAAGAGCGAGACTCCATCTCACACAAAAAAAAAAAAAAAAAGAAAAAAGAGAGAGAGAGAAATCAAAGACCTAAATACACTCTTGCATGACTTAATGATAGGAATACATATTCTGAGAAATGCATTGTTACATGATTTCATCATTGTGTGGATATCAGAGTGTACACATACTCTAACCTAAACGGTACACAGCCTACTATACTCCTGGGCTCTGTGGTATAGCCTATTGCTCCTAGGCTACAAACCTGTACAGTATGTTACTATACTGAATACTGTAGACAACTGTAACACAATGGTATTTGTCTATCTAAATATAAAAAATACAGCTTTAAAATATGGTATAAAAGATTTAAAATAGTAAAACTGCATAAGGCATTTACCATGAATAGA